GGTGATCAAGATTGTTAAATTTGCGAGGATACTCAAACTCGTAAAGGGTCCGTAGACTCGACTCGCAGACCCGACTCGCAAACTTGTACGAGTCTATGAAAAATTAAAAATAATTTTTAAAATCTGTAAGTAATACCTATATGACACACACATATATTTTTAAACCTTTAAATGTCTCATATATGACATAAATATATATAATAGAACACCAAATAACATTAAAATTTAAATCTCATACTCCATAAAAAATTTCTTAACAAAAAACTTGATAATAAAATAAATAAAATAGCAAAGTACTAACTTCTTCTTAATTAGTTAGTGGCTACTACATATAGCAAAAAAATAATCATAAAACATGTATGCTAATGGCTTCAAACATTCAAAGCTCTGGTGAAGTCATCGCCATCAATATCATCATCATCACCTTCATCAATATCTTTAGGTGCTTTAAAGCTCCAGTATAATCACAATATCCACAACTGCAACCATCCCTTCGACAATAATTTAAAACTATGCATGTGCTCAAATTATTCTAGTTTTATGTCAAAATAGATTCTGAATTAAAGGGTTTTTATGTCTCTATCATCAAGGTTGTCCACTCACACTAACTTTTCTTATAGCACTTGTATGTAGGTTCTTTATAATTATCATTAATGATTAATTAATTAGTAAAAATTGCAGCAAGTTTTTATGTGAATAATGCATTATTTCAAAACAGACTAAAACATTTTCTGCCATATACATCATAAATCTTCTAAACCATTTTTGTCACATACAAATTGATATATGAGAATTGAGAATAGTGGATCTGATTGAACAATGGTGCATAAATTTACACAAGAGAATATACAAGAGAACGTACAAGAAAACATCCAAGTGAAATATATAAGAAAACACTAACACAATAAAAGATTAATTTACGACAACGAACAAGAATAAATCAAGAGAAAGAACAAATGTGACCACATCGTCGATGAAGCGAGGAAGAAATTTTGCTGAAACCAAAGACTAAGAGAGAGACTTTCTAATTCTCGTACAAGCAAAAAAGTTTTTTTTTTTATAAATAAAATAAAATATTTTGGGGAATTTGGATTAAACTCATAAACTCACCATAGACTCGCGAGTCTATACTAGTTTGTGCGAGTCTACCCGAGCCTATCAAAAAAAATTCTATGCGCAAGTCTACTCGTTTTTGCTTCTTAGACTCGTAAACTCATACGACTTTACGAGTATACCCGTAAGTTTGACAACCATGTTGGTGACAATTAATTCTCATGATTTATAATATATTAAAAAATTGTAAATTTAAAAAAATATATATAATTTGTACCCATGAAGTCATAAACTAAGTACTTTCAAATTAAATGACATTTATTTTACTTTAAATATGAAAAGTAATCTAAGAGGTGACAAATGAATTAGATTAATCGACATTCATAAATTTTTCTCGATTATGAATGTTAGCAGCAATGTTGTTCTTATTTTTTTGAAACTATTATGAATGTTAAAGTGTTGAAAATAAATGCAGAAAAATAAAGAATACCAAGATATAACACAATTTCCATTTTCAAACAAGGGTACTCCAGTCCCCTCATACCTTGTGAGAGATTTCACTATATCAAATATGTTACTGTCGATCCAAATATGGTGGCACATGTTAAGCAATAAATGACGCATTTGTGATTGTGTTAGATAGTTAAGATAGTCAAGGGGATTGTAATGTATTTGTCATAGTGAAATATTTCAGAGTGTGAGGGGATTGAAGTACTCTTGTTTGAAAACGGAAATCAGGATATACCTTGGTGTTCTTTATTTTCCTGCATTTATTTTTAGCACTTTAACATTCATAACGGTTCCAGAAAAATAAGAACAACATTTCTGTTAACATTCATAATCGAGAAAATTCACTAATACAGATTAATTTAATTCACTTTAAAGTAAAATAACTACCATTGAAAGGACTTGGTTTATGACCCCATGGATACAAATTATAAATATTTTTGTCTTAAATTTTTTTTTTTTTAAATATTACTATAAATCATGATAATTATTTGTCATCAATGTACATTAGTCTAGTGGTAAAGACATAGGAAGTAGCTTAAAGGTCTTTGGTTCAATTCCTTTCAAAAAACCAATTTTGTCTTTTTTTGATATTTTCAAATCTAAATTATTTAAAAATAAGGCAAAATATCATTTTTGGTCCTGTATGTTAACGTCAAGGTTCATTTTAATCTCTTAATTTTAAAAAAGTTCATATTGGTCCCTTAACTCTTCAAAGTGCTTTATTTTACTCATTTTTATCTAATTAGCGACGAAAAAACTTAAAAATTAATCGCTAAAAATAAATAAAAATTAAAAATAAAAATTAATTTAGTATTTAAATAATGAAAAATAAAAAATAAAATCCAACTTGACAATTCAATCATGGTTTAAAAGTAGAAAAAACCAATTTAAAAAAATATTAAGAGAGTAATTAATATGACTCAATTAAATTTTACAAGAGATTAAATTGAATCTGTTTTTTATAGAAGATTAATTTAGATCTTGTAATTTTTGCGAGGACCAAAATAGATCTTTCCTCTATTATTTATTTATTGATAATTAATAATAATCATATCTAATAATTAATAGTAATTATACCTATTCTCAATAAATATTTGAAGTCATTGAAAACTACTAATAGAAGGAGAAGACTACTACTCCCTCTGTTTTGAAATAGCTATTGTTTAAAAAAATAAAATTGATTTCAGAATGACTGTCATTCTCCCTTTAAATATAATAATGATTATTATTTTTTTAATTATATATTATTTTTAATATATTAATAAAGTTAATTTAATAAAAGTATAATAATTTATAATAATATTATTATATTTATATACAAAAATCTTAAATGCTAATTATTTTGAAAGGATATAATATTTGGATTCAATTTTGCATGACATGGTGTAAATCACATGCATATCATTCGACTTGTCAGGAAATTTTCAACTGGCAATGTGAGTGCATTAAATGCTGTCATTATTAAAGATAATTCAACCCTCAAATTAAATGTAACACTCCTTTAATTTTTTTAATTTCTAAATTGAGCATGAATAAATTTGGAGTGGTAGAATAAAATTTCTGGTATGAATTTTATTTAAAGTTTTTTATTATGGGAAATTTTCTGTAATTTATCAGAAATTTTCGGTAGTGTAATTTTTTTTTTCCAAAAACAAATTACTGAATTTTCTGATAAAAATTCATAGAAATTTACAAAGTTTCAGTATTTTTTAAAAAAATTTCGATAAAATACATATTTTTTTGAAATTTAGTAATTTTAGACAAAAATAATCTATAGTGGATGACATGATAGAATCTTCTTGCTAATTAGGCTCTTATAATCTCGGCCCAACAACTCAATAGGCCCAAATACAGCTACCCTAATTTCGGCATTCTCACACCTATAAATTTCAATCTCCTTCATTCAGCAGCCATCAACGCTCCATCAAATTTCATTGCCGCTCCAAATCACCTCAAAGATACACAACCTTTTTAAACCCCTCACCGGGTCACAGAAACTCCGCGGTTTCACCGCAGCCTAGTTTGCATGCTGTTGTTGTTTATGTCTTTCTTTTTCAACTTGTTTGAAATATTTTTGCTTCATTTCTTTTTTATTATATAGTTTTGAATTTTGCTATGGTTAGATTAGATTCTGCACTAAACTGGAAAAAGGCTTTATAATGGAAAATGTTATCATTTGCCTAATTATAAGTGCAAAATCAAATTTTTGGGAACCGCTTTGCAGATCTAACTTCTCATGTTTTTGCTGCCAGTATGACCCATACATTTACTCCAAACATTTATTTTATTAATCTGTGCCTGATAGTACTTTTTTTCTGGTTTTTTTTTGTTGATCTATGCTTTGGTGTTGATACATTTCATTTGCTCTAACGCTTTAGCTTGACCCACATGCATTTGATATAAAAAATTAAAGTGACAGAAAATGTAAATTTTATTTAATTATTACTATTTTCTTGTTTTCCTTACCTTTGCCCGGAGAAGAGACATCTGTTACATTTTTTTTAAAACATTTATACTAATAACCAACGGAATTAAATGGAATAAAAAATATATAAAAGAATATTTGAATTGATGAAAAATATTTTAAAAGAGAGTTGTTATTAACCTTTAGAGGTATATTATTTTGTCAAGCAGTAACAGATAGTTAGCTAAAGTTTAGGCTCATTTGTGTAATATATGTATATATACAGTTGTGTATGTTAGCAAGAAATAATATTTAGAAGTACACTCACTTATATGGTATCAGTAGATTACTAGGCTTCACCATGCCTTCCTTAACTATATGAGAAATTCCAATCATCCCAAATCTCAAATCTGTCAGTGTCCTAAATAGGCTTCACCATGCCTTCCTCAACTACATGAGAAATTTTGATCATTCCAAATGCCAACTTTGTTACTGTCCTAAACACTTACTCATAAGTGAAATTGAGTAGCAGTAATTTTTTTGCTTGGCACGTGTAGTTTAATGCACTCTTTGTAAGGAATGAATTTGTTGGTTATGTTGATTGCACCACTCTTAGTTCAACCCTAACTGATCCAATACACATACGTTGGAAAAGACATGATCAATTGATATTGCATGCAATCATATCCTTGGTTGATCCAAGTGTCATTACCATCTTGGGGAATGTCAAGACCTCCAAGCAAGTTTGAGACATTCTTACTAAGATGTTTGCAAGCAAAACTTGTGCAAGAATTATGGACCTAAAAGTGTACAAAAGAATTATAATCCATTTCTGAGTACCTCCATGATATCAAGGCTTTATCAGATGAATTAGCCATCATCAACTCCCCAGTTGACGATGTGTCCACAGTTTAATTGTCACTGAGTATTGTGAAGTGTCTGTTTCTCTAAGAACCAGAGAAAATCCTATTTGATTTGATGATCTATGATCTATATGATCTCCTTTCTAATTTTGAAAGTTGTTTAAAGAGGGATGCAACTGTGCAACAAAACTCCTCTCATTGTTATTGCAAACATTGCACACAAAGAGTGGATCTTAGACTTGGGAGCTTTCCATTATATAACAAATGAGTTGGACAACCTGCACTTGTCTCAACCTTACATAGGTTCAGATCAACTTCAGGTTAGTGATGGATCTGGACACACCATCTCTAACATTGGTAAAATTGGTAAAATTATTTTAAAAACTCCATCTCAGTCATTTTATCTCTCAAATGTCTTACGTGTGCCTAAAATTAATCAAAAACTATTGTTTGGTTCATCTTTATTTCACACTAATCCAATCTCCATTGAATTTTTCATCTGATCATTTCTTGATAAAGGATTTGAAGACAAGGGAACCTCTTCTAAAAGGGAAGCATAGCAATGGACTCTACCACATGCCTCTTCCATCATCTCTATCACCACTACAACATTCTCCTACCATCCCACAAAATAAAGAGTCAACAACAACCTTGTCTATCATGTAATAGTATTAAGAGTCACAAGTTACCTTTTTTCATTTCTAGTATAAAAACACAAAAACCATTAGAGCTTATATATACTGATGTATGGGGTCTAGCTCACATCAAGTCTTTAGATGATTTCTCCTATTATTTATTTTTTGTTGATCACTTTACCAAATATGTATGGCTCTATCCATTAAAAAATAAATCAAATGTCTCTATTTTGTTTCCCACATTCAAAAATCTTGTTGAAAACTACTTCAAAGATAAAGTTATTTCATTGCACTTTGATAATGGAGAAAAATTCATCAAACTAAAATCATTTCTTCACACACATGGCATATCTCATCTCACCACACCAACACATACACTTGAACTTAATGCTCCAGTTGAGAGGAGACACATATATGTAGTTGAAACTAGAAGAGTCTTGCTACATATGTCAAACTTACTACCTGAATACTGGTCATTTGCATTCAAGACAACAATGTATCTAATCAATAGGTTACCAACACCTATCCTCAACATGCAATCACCATATAAAGTCTCACACAAGAAAAAACCCAACACTTTCACATCTTCATTCCTTTGGATTCCTTTGCTTTCCTTGGTTGCGACCTTATGTCTCAAATAAACTCCAATCTCGGTCTCAACCATGCATATTCCTAGGATATGCAAAATCCCAATACAGTTATATATGTCTTGACCTAACAAATCACAAAATATACACCTCTCGGCATGTCAAATTTTTTGACCATATTTTTCCATACAACCAACTTGTCAAACCTACACCACCACCATCTATAATCATACCCAACATGCCACAACCTCCTCATATCATCATAACTATCATTCAACAATCACCAATCAAGTCACATGCTATGTCCCATGAAGAGGAGGATCTTTTGAATTCAAATTCAATGTCAGGTAATGATACTCATATGCCTAATCTTATCTTGTTTCTACACTTATTGTCAATCCTAATACCTCTACAACCCCTATTACTGAAACAAACCAAATCACCACAAGGTCCAAGAATAACATATTCAAGCCAGAAATGATGTACACTGCATAAAAACATCCTCTACCTGAGAATTTGGAACCTTCAAACTTTCGTGAGGCAATGAAACATGTAACACCTCAAAAATCTAGATTAATTATTTAATTAGTTATTTAATTAATTTAGCGTGAATATATGAGTAATTGTGAAGTATTTGATATAAATGCTGTTTTAGCAATTTTTGTGAAGTATTTGAATATGTCATGTTATGTTGAGACCTCATGATGGTTTGTGATGATCTGGAATGTTTAAGAGTATGATGACTTATGTGATATTTTAAATGATTCATTTAATGTTGTGGTGATTTGTGTGATGCTTAAGTGTATTGAAGGATTTTGGAATATTTTAGAATAATTTATAATAATTAGAATAATAAGTGGAATTATTTTAATTAGAATAATAAGAGTTATTTTAGTGTAGATGAAGTAAGGGCAAGATGGTCAATTGGAAGGAATAATTGAGGAAAAGATAGGGAAGTTAGATATTAGGGGTCCAAGGGTTAAAATGGGGTAAAGAGTTTAGTTGTCTCATTATGTACAATCGTAAGAATTGGGAGAAACATCGTGAAGAGAAGGCAAGGGCACAAAGAGGCAAGAGGAACATTGGATTTTGGTAGAACATAAAGATAAGTCAAATTCAACTACGAATTAAGGTAAGGGGTGTTTATCATTGTTATTATAATCAATCTAAGGTTTAGATAATGGTAGATTTGTGTTTAGTGTGTTGATTTTTGTAGTTGTTTAGTTATTGGCTTGCATTTTTGGTAAAACCCAAGTGTATGTGTGAATGTCATGACTGATGTCATAACATTCTAGTTTAGTTTGTACTGATTCATTAGGTACCTCTGCAGAAAAATATTGTCATTCAGGTACTGATGTTTATAAGTGTGTATCTGAGCAATTTGCAAAATGATCACATTTTCCTAAATCAGTAGATAGGTTTTTCAGATGTCATAACAGATGTTAAGACATCCTGTTCTGAACTAACAGGTTTGCAGTTTGGTTAATTCTGAGTTTTTTCAGGAAACTGACTCAGTCTTTCCAGAACAGCTTCCCGCATTTTCTTTGGGTTAACCTAGCTCAACCCTAACCTGGTTGATAAAGTCATGTGACCTAGTCTTAAGGTCAAATGGAATTAACCCTAGATTTTTGTGGAAACCCTAACTGAAGATGCAGCTGCTATATATTCAACAGAGCTGCTGTTTTGCAAGTAATCCCTTTTTTGGTCAGAAGATCATTTGTAAACTGTATAGGTTTAATTATTGTACTCCAAACAATTATCATTGTGATAAGTGACTTGGAATAGGTTTTTAATTGTAAGGGTTGTGTAGCACTCAAAGCTTTGAAGCAAGAGTGTTTGAATGTTTCTTGACTAAAGCTGTGAAGCAGAGTCAAGTCAGTTGTGTGTATCACTCAAAGCTGTGAAGCAAGAGTGGTTGTGTTGCTTGATTAAAAAGCTGTGAAGCTTAATCAAGTGTATATTTTTGAAGAGTGTCTTCATCTATTCATTAGTCAAATTGTTTTATGTATCACTGCTGTGATTGAGGGGGAGTGAGTAGGAACTCAGGTTTAAGTTGTACTTAGATTGAAATTGCATTGGGTAGGTCTTAAGTGAAGGAGATAAACTGGTTGGTTTATTCCTGAATTAACATCTCTTATAGTGGATTTCCTCCCTGGCTTGGTAGCCCCCAGAGTAGGTGTTGTTGCACACTGAACTGGGTAAACAATTGACTGTGTTCTTTACTGTTTTTGTATTTATTGTCATATAGTAAGTCAGATACGGTGTCATAACATTGAACGTGACATTGAGTATCTGCAGCCAGAATTTCAATTGGCATCAGAGCAGGCACCCTGCCTGTATTACTGGGTGAGATATAGGGATATCACTTTCTGGAACTATGGACAAAGAAGGAGTTTTTGGAAATAGACCACCCATTCTGGATGGAACTAATTATGACTACTGGAAACCTCGTATGATTGCCTTCTTAAAATCTCTGGACAAAAAGGCTTGGAGAGCTGCTGACAAAGGATGGATCCATCCCACCATAACTGAGAAAGATGGGACAATCAGTCTGAAGCCTGAGGAAGATTGGAGTAAAGAAGAAGATGAGTTAGCCCTGGGAAATTCCAAAGCTTTAAATGCCTTGTTCAATGGAATTGATAGAAACATTTTCAGACTAGTACATCAATATGAACTGGCCAAGGAAGTTTGGGACACTCTCAAAACTACTCATGAGGGCACTTCCAAAGTAAAAATGTCAAGGCTTCAGATGTTGACTACCAAGTTTGAGAATCTAAAAATGATGGAAGATGAAACCATTCATGAGTTTCACATGAACATTTTGGAGATTGCCAACACCTCAGGAGCACTGGGAGAAAAGATGTCAGAAGAAAAACTGGTGAGGAAGATTCTCAGATCCTTGCCTAAAAGATTTGCAATGAAGGTAACTGCCATAGAGGAAGCCCAGGACATCAGCAAGTTGAAAGTTGATGAACTGATTGGGTCTCTTCAGACGTTTGAGATGGGGATCACTGATAATGGTGACAAGAAGAACAAGAGCATAACACTTGTATCCAACACTGATGTTGAAAACAAGGAGAATGAAGAAGAAAATATTTCAGAAGCTATTGCCATGCTTGGAAGACAGTTCAACAAGCTCATCAAAAGAATGGATCCAAAGTCAAGGTCTAATATTCATAACATTCCCTCTGACATTGACAGTTCCAGCAGAAGACCAAGGTCAGAAGAAAAGGGAAACCAAGGCAGAGGTATTCAATGCCATGGCTGTGAAGGATATGGACATATTCGAGCTGAATGTCCTACCTTTCTTAAGAAACAAAAGAAAGGAATGACTGTTACTTGGTCTGACTATGATTCAGAAAGTAATTCTGAAGAAGAATCTGCCAAACTAGTTACTGCTCTAACTAGTGTTTGTACCTCTGAAAGTGACACTAGTGATGAAGAAGTGACTTTTGAAGAACTGGCTGATACTTACAAGAAATTGTGTATCAGAAGTACTGAAGTCTGTGTGCAGAATGAGAAACAATCAAAACTCATCATAAAGCTGGAGGCTGAAAAAAGGGCAAACCTTGAAACTATAAGTCATATAGAAGGAGAAGTTCAATTGCTGAACTCACAACTGAATCAAATGACCAAATCTGTCAAGATGCTGACAAATGGAACAGACAAATTGGAAGAGATCCTTCAGGTTGGACAAAATGTGGGAAATAAATCTGGACTAGGATTTCTGGAAGCAAAGAAATCTGGTACTGATAAGCAAATGTCAAAACAGATGTCTCAACACAACTCTCAACATTAGGAACAGAGACATATGAAGAAAAGGTACCAAAGATGGAGATGTCATCATTGTGGGAGATATGGCCACATAAAGCCCTTCTGCTTCAGATTGCATGGATACCCTAATCAGAACTCAGGTGTCAAACCTAAGTCTAAAAAGGTACCACATGCTCCTAAATGGAAGAAAAAGGCTACTGCCCTGATAGCCCACACTTCCCTGAGGGTCTCTGCAAAGGAAGACTGGTACTTTGACAGTGGATGTTCCAGACACATGACTGGAATCAAGAACCTCCTCAATAATGTTAAGCCTCACACCACCAGTTTTGTGACCTTTGGAGATGGTGCTAAAGGTGAAATCAAAGGAGTTGGTGATTTGGACTGCCCTGGAGTTCCAAGTCTGAATGAAGTACTGCTGGTAAAAGGGATGACTGCTAATCTCATTAGTATCAGTCAATTGTGTGATCTAGGATTCAAGGTCAATTTCTCAAAATCTGAATGTCTTGTAATCAATGACAAACTAGAAGTTGTAATGAAAGGAATCAGATCCAAAGATAACTGCTACTTGTGGCAGCCTGAGAACACTGATAACTCCACTATGTGTCCAATTACCAAAGAAGAAAAAGAGATGAAACTGTGGCAGCATAAGCTTGGTCATCTTCATCTAAGA